TAGATAATCTTGTAAAATTAACTACAATTGATGCCAAATATGCGCTTTAGTCTCTTCTAAACTCTCAACTCAACCCTTTTAAATGAACACCGCCATAAAAAAATAATATAAAGTATGGAAATTCGTAATTAATTATAATTCGATTGTAAAATGAGCTTTTTATCGTCATCATCATCACTAGTATTAAACAATTTGTCGTATAACCGCAAAAATGTTATTTTTTCAATATATTTTGTGTTTATTGCATCCCCATGTGTGTACACAATGCAAATACGTATTTATTTATGTTCTCAATTCTATCCAGTGCATCGTCGATGCAATGTCAAACGAAAAATGCTGTTACCTCTCTCGCACCTCATTCAGTTTTTTTTTGTCCTCGCGAAACAAGCAATCCAATTTAATTTTTAATTCATTAAACATTTAAATGTCACATAAAAATATGCTTTTGAGGCCTTTCATTTTCCAATTCAATTTTTTTTCTCACTCTCGTTGCTCCTTCTGTCTGTCATATATCACGACTACAGGAATAACAACAGAGAGAATTTTTTTCCATGTCATGTTTTCAATTATTTCTCACTATATTCGTTGCTAAAATATTTTTTAATGCTTTTATACAACAATTTTTTTTATATATTTCCAGATGATGGAAATATAGGAGAATGAATTTGCAGTTTATTGTACAGCTGCATGCCTGTCCTCAGGAAAAAAAATATAAATGTGAGTGTGAATTTTGCACATGCTAATTAAATTAAATGTTTGCTTATGACGTAGTTTATGTTATTCCCATTTGAGATGTGATGGATGTGATGGCAATGGAATTGATAATAAAATATTCATGAACATTAATGTAGAGTGTGATGTACAAAGCTTTATCAATTTTATTATTACCATGCCACACTATTATCACTTAATGTTTTAGAGTATGAGACTTAATTTAATTTAATTTTAAATACATAGATTGAGTGAGAAAATAAGCCACTTGTTAAATATGAATCAGAACCATACAGATTGTATAGTTCTGAAATGGCCCTGTAGCGCAATTGGTAGAGCGTCAGACTCCAGATCTGAAGGTTGCGTGTTCAAGTCACGTCGGGGTCAGAAATTCCTTTTTGATTAAATTTATACTTTTTTTGATTAAATGCACTCGAAATTGCATTTGGGGGTCATCCATAAATTATGGAACGTAATAGAAATTGGTTTTTTGATGGTAAATTTTTATAAAAGTTTTTTTTAAAATGAATTTTACACGACTTTCGAATTGTTTTATTTAAAACTGGAATCTTAATTAGTGAACGACCCCCAAGGGTCGTGCAACCTTTTTTGGAAGACGAGGGTCTTATTTAACTTTTATGACAGAAAGAGGTTCGAAGGTCCAATAGAAATCCTAATTTTTTGATTGACATCATTTATGGATGACCCCTATTTGCACTATTTTTTATCATCAAATATTTTATTAAGTAGTCTTTTCAACCATATATTAGTTGAGAGTGCAGATAAATATTTGCATTCCATATACTGTGTCAATATATTTTTTTAAATCCATTGTAATAAAATTTCCGTGGTTTGAATATTTTCCGTACATAAAAAAAACTTCAGTTCCTATAAAAGTGCACATTTTGCCTATGGAAATATTTAAAATGGGATCAAGTTTCATTGATATTGTAATGCAGTTTGCCATATTCTCACCATTTTTATGATAAAATCAGACTAAAAATATGAAGGGATTATGCTGAATACTTTAACACACCACAAAAATGAAGTGAATAAAGATTATTGGATTGCTGCAAGCAATAAAAAAGTTTTTTGGTTGGGTACGGTACGAGTACAAAAATAAATCAGCTATTGCATTGGTTGGATGTAATAAAATAAGAAATTTTATGCTTCATGTCACGAGAATGTCACACGTCGTAAAATTTATTTCCAGTTTTATTTGATGAGATGAAGCAAACAAGCAGCAAGCGATTCTTATTTTGGTAATCATTGTGTCTTGGCAATTCCAATTTTATGTTTCATCACCCAATGTGTAAGAAGAAGTTCTTAGTTCTTTTATTTTATATAATTAGCCTTAAGATATTTTCCATTAGTTGCGAGAAATTCTTGTTATCTCTTGGAATGTTGTGCTAGAGCATGATTATTAGACGACAATTCGATGACGATGAAGACAGTTTATTGAACTTATTGGATATGCTCCCACGATGATTTCATTTTGAAATGTTTTGCCATTTTTTTTAATAATTCTTGATGCTTCTTAAAGAGGTTGTTGGACTTACATGCAAGTATTTGTTGATGCTTGGATTTCGATGATAGATGTGATGGAGGATGTGGATCCATTGAACTGGAATTGCTGTAATTTTTATTATTATAATTGTGATGGGATGCAGCTTGTTAAAAACATATCTTCTGATACAAAGAATCTTTTGTCATGGAATTGTCATTAAATTATGAAACATGTAAATTCGTTCCTTGGAGAAGCTAGGTTAGTGGTTGAACAAATTCCTTTATTAGTTCGGTGGCAAACCTTGATTTTAACCCGGCACATCTGAGTATCAATTGCACACTAATGCTCCACAGCACATAAGTTGCCTATCACTGAAGCATAACTTTAGGTCAGTGCTACTCAAACGTTTTAGAATGCAACTCACTTTACTTGAGTTTCTAATTTCACTGCCTTAGAGTATTTTGAACATTCTGACTCAGACGGGTAGCTTTTACAGCGCAAAAAAAATGGGAATTTCAGGCTTCCTTTAAATGCTGACTATTAAAAGAATCTTTTATTGATAGATGTCTTCAAAAGTGTCGTGGATCATAGGTTGATTAGCAGTGTTTTACTTAAAATCTATACTTTTTCCAATGAAATTCATTCAAACTTACCAAATTTAAACCGAAAGCTATTCAATTTCAGAATCATGAGTATATCCACCAGCATTACATGCTTGTTTGTTGTTTGATATTTTTATAGCTCAAACATAATCATACATTTTGCATATTAATTTCTGGTATTAATTTTTATGGATTTTAATCAGCCAGCATGCAAATATGTAACATTTGATTTATTAATAAAAATTTCCACGGGCTTTTTGTTGACATCAACAACATTGGAATATTATTTTAGAGAAAAATTAACCCTGCAAATTAATGATAGAGGCAGAGAAATTAATGCTTTGTGTTTTCCATTTGATAGATTTTTTGCAGGTTTTTTATGCATGAGAAAATTTATCCAAAAATAAATAAAATTGCAAAATAAACTCTAATTCATTTAAATGTCAAATAGATTCTGTCAAGCTTGATTTTAATTAAACGGAATTAAAATTTTATTTTACGGGATTTTTTTGTCGATGCAATTTTTAAATCTGAATGATTTTTTTTAAGTCGTTGAATGATTTCGACATTCTGAAACCTGATCAATGTTTCAACAGCTGTTCTGCTGTAGTTTTAGGAGCTATGCTTGACTTGATTAATTTGAGAAAATTAAATTTTGATAAATTGAATAGTTTAGGAGTTTAATTAAGGAATTATGGCATTGATTCGATTCATAACAGTGGATATTGACTTAATTTTGAATTAAATGATAATTCTAAGATAATAAAGCTTACAGGATGATTTAAAAACAAACCTAATAAGTGAAGTCTTCCAGAAAATTAATCCAAAAGCACCAAAAAGTCACCCTCAAATTAAATCATTTAAGTTAATCTTAACCTTATGTCAATATTGTTACAGTTAATGAGCATTGAATGAGATAATAAAAGCACAAGAATTTCCCATCATTCCTTCCCCTCTCCTGTCCACAATAATCTTCAGTCAACCAGATTCTCTTCTCAATTTAATCGTTCTATACGCAACGTCAATTTACAAGCTTAAGGTCATTAATTTGATACAATCGATTTTTCTGCTCTGTCTTATGTTGAAATTCAACCTTTTATACCTTTCAGCCTCACACTCTAGACTTAATGGACATTGATAGTGGCAGTCTATAGGTAACACATTTCGTCTTGTACATACATATTGAGAAATCAATGAACCTTTTCTCCCCGATAAAATCCTTTTTATGTATTTAAGTCTAACAACCATTGGTTGAATAGCTGCTTGACTGCCTCATGATTCATTCATTAAAGCTCATTTACAGTTGACTAAGTTTCCTTTCAGTTTACCTTATTCATGATGTTTTTTCTTGACTTTAATTGCTTCCCTTTAAGATATACCTTTTTCAGTTCCCATCTCTTTTGTCTTATTCAGTTCCATTCTTTGCTTACTTACTTACTTTTGCGTTAGTTACATTGTTTTTCATGTCCATTAAGTGCTTTTGATGAAGAAAATTGCTCCTCATTTATACAAAGTGAAACCTTTTTTTTGCTGCTTCCTGTTCCTCCTTAATTTAATCTTTCTCTCTTTATTCATCTTAAATTAAACAGTACTCACCAACACTTTATTTCATAATACTTTTACGGTAGTTGACTTTTTGGATCTTTCTCTTGTCTCCTCATCAAATTCATTTGTCGCTTCATTGAGTTTCTGTTCCTTTCTTATTTACTTCATAAATTATTTTTCATTGTAAATTGCCATAAAAATTAAGAGGATGATTATATGGCAAAAATTAATGTTTATGTCTTGATTAATTTATTTCTGAGTACTTATTTAAGTAATGTTGGGATTTGAAAAATTACTGGACATATATTATTTGGGGAATGAATGTTGACTCATGAAAACTCGCACTGAAGTTGCGATACAGTCACCTGTGCACAGGTGAGAACCGTACAATTCCTTGATAATTTGCAAGGTTTTTCTAACAGAACCATACAAATTCTAATAAAACCTCACAAATTATAAAGGAATTGTATAGTTCTCATCTGTGCACAGGTGCCTGTATCGCAACACTACTCAGAACTTTCATGAGAATTTTAGTGAACTTTTCCTGGAAAAATTGTAAACTTAAACTTTTTAAAATTTAAATTCACACAAAATATCAAAAACTTTATCAAATTTTACAATTTACTGATTTTTTTTTATTTTGACATTTCATACAAAAATAAAATAGAGTTTAACATTCGAGACAAAACAGCTCGATGATTGCATCAAAATTTCCATCCACCAAATGCAGCTTCAATTTCACAAGCAATAGCAAAGCAATTTCTGTCCTGATATGGTGCCGCAATAACCTGAAAGCAATCAAGTAAATTTCATTAAAATGACTTTAATAATAAAAAAAAAAGTTTTTTTTTGGGTTCTCATGCATGTGAGACATTTCACATTATTATGCACAATGAGTTAAGTTAATAAAAAAAATATTTAATGTGATTACGAAAATAAAGAGAGTTCCTGTATGTGCAACAAGGGAAGGATAATAAAAATCTGTTGCGCGCAAAAAAAAAAACAAATTTAATTTCAATACCTGAAAGCCAATTGGAAGTCCACTCTCATCCATACCCATCTGTCATTTTTCAATATGAATCCGACAATAAAAAAAAATATTAAAATTAATTTTCATGAGGATCATAAAAGGAAAATTAATGTGATTTACCGGCACGTGTGTTGATGGAAATCCCATGATATTAAAGAATGCTGTGTACATGACACCGCTCAATTTTGTTGTTGATTCGCCATGCCGGAAGGCGCTTTGTGGGAAGGTTGGGTAGAACAGCACACCATTTGTTCCAAGTTTATTGATAAGTTTTTCTCGCAGAACTTTACCTTTTTTGACATAATGCTCTTTTCGTGATTTTGGTATGAAGCCATTCGTTGCATGCAATACATAAAAATATAAGGCAGCGTATGTGTACTCCGACAATCCGAACATTGATTTTAAAAGTTCATTCCAGAGATCTTTTCGAGGCTGTTGGAAATGAAGAGAATTTTATTTTGGTAAGTCAAAGGAATTGAAAAATGTAAATTCTAAAACAGCCACTGAAAACGGGAAATTTTTGATTACATATTAGCCAATGTTGGACAACGGTTCCTCACTTTTCGAAATTAAAGAAATTGAGTTCGAAACTTTTTTGTTTAAATTTTAAATTGAAATTTTATTCCTTTAATTTTAGCTTTATTTTTTGTGTTATATTGGATCATCAAAAACCATTAATTAAAGAAAAATTTCTGAATTTCTATCGTAATCTGTTTGCCAATGACGTATAACATTTTGGAGGGGGGGGGGTCAGGAAATTTGTGACATCAAATTTTTTTGTGTCTATGATTTTACGTCACAGGGGGGGGGGGGGGTGTATTGACATCTGTGAGGGGGGGATAGAATTGACGTCATAAGTGAACGGACCCATATTGGTTAAAGGTAAAAATGCTGAGATATTCACGTAAATAACGTTTGATTGATTTTATCTTAGTGATGCTTTCGCAGTTAACGCGCCTGACTTTCACAAAATTGATGTCGCTTTAGAATTGTTGAGTTCCAAACTTTTTAAAGAATTTTAACCAAGTTAAAATTTAACTTAAACCTTGCGGATCACATTAGAATAACATGCAGCTTTGCTTCTTTATGCTGTATTATTCAAAACATTTCGTACTCGTTTTACATTTGTGCATTCCACATTTGCTTTTGAAATAACCGATTGAATTCATACCACAAAAAAAAAACCTTTTACTGGAGTTAGATATCAAAAAGAATTCCAATCAAATCTCACTTAAAAGTTCACTTACACTCGTTTTATCATTCGAAAGCAAATCGGGTATATCGTCTACATCACATAATGAACAAATTGAAATTTCCAACGAATCATTCATATCAATGAAATCACCATGTTGATGATGATCGTTGTAACTAGGATTGAGTCGTTTCACATTCAGTCCATTGGATTTAAAGTGTGACACAGCTTCAAGCATTCGACGTTGAATTAACTCATCGACATTCCATAAACTCAACGAAAATTCACTTGCTGATGTTTGATAATAAATGTCGATGTCTTTCGTATGGATAGGTTGGTCTAAGCGCAACTGAGAACGGCAATTTTCATTTGCCATCAAATATGTTAAAGTCGGTAAATCCTTTGCATAACGACACATTGGACCAATCGTTAGAAATTTGAGAAAGCTTTTATCCATCGATGTTGGAAAATGTCCATCAATGCTTATAATACCCGATGTTGGCTTATGACCGAATATTCCAACAAAATGACTTGGCACTCTAATTGATCCAGCGATATCTGATCCTATAAATTTACAAGATTTACATTTATTGAGTACATATTGTAAAATTTTCATTTAATTCCTCTTACCAATTCCAAAACATGATGCTCCAGCACCATTAAGTGCAGCTTCGCCACCCGAACTTCCCCCAGGCGACGTACTCAACTTGTGTGGATTCAATGTTCTTCCACTTACATAATTATTGCACTCCCAAGTGACACAATATTCGGGCGTTGTCGAGACGAGTAGTGGAATGGCACCGGCAGCTCGCAATTTTTCAACCACAATTGCATCCTTGTCAGCTCTCATTCCCTTCCTTGATATTGTTGCTGTGCCATGCAATAAACCTTTTACAGCTATACTCTCCTTTACTGTAAATGGTACACCAAGTAATGGGTAGTTTTCAATGATATAAATTAACGACGCTTCCTCAATAATCTTATCAGCACGCTTAGCATCCTTTATTGCATCATCGAATCGATTTTCAACTACAGCATTCAAAAAGGGCTCAACTTCTCGGATACGCTTTATGTATTCTCGTACAACTTTTTCAGATGAGAACTGTTTCAGTTTGAAAAAAAAAGTGGAAAAAGAAGAATGAAAATGAAAATAAAATTCAGAATCATTTCGATAAAGATAACATTTCGAGAATGAAATTGGAAAAGAAGAAGTAAAGCGGATTAAAGAAATTTCCGTTCAATGCTGTTTGTTTTAAATTCACAGTAAATTGAAGACCGATCGGCACACATTGAAATTCATTGAAATGTTGATGTCAGGTTGATAGTATAATTAGAACCAAATTGGCAATGGCTTTCAAACGGGTGCCACTTGGTTCTAATTCTGATATCAACCCGGCAGCAGGTGGCAAACATTTCAATTTGTGCAAGGGTATGGTACTCATGAAATGATCAAAAATGATCAAAAAAATGATCAAATATGATCAAAAAAATGATCAAAATGTAATTCTTCAGTTCCACACCCTTCAATATGTGCCGGTCGGGAAGTATTTGTTAATTAAATAGTTACATTCTATACATTTTTAAAATAAATGAGATAGCAATTTATGGGAATATAGTTGATGGTTTCTGGTTCGGCTGTGATGTTATACAAAGTAGTTCAGACGATATCAAAGCTCACATCCCCTGCTACGGAACTGTGTACATTACAGGTAACACAAAAGCCTTTCTACCACAACAAAGCACCCTCAAAGTGTAATTTACTCTCACACATCGAATACAGTATCGACTTCAATTTCATATGGAAAAGAGCAGCATGTAAACTGATTTAAAAGTTCATGAGCTTCAAACATATTTTGTAGTAAAAGATTCCACCATTTTTCGCGACATATAAATTTTCATTTACCGCCATGCTGTCTACGCAGTTGTAGTCAAAATACAGTCTACATTGAGAGCAGGGGCGTAGCCAGAAAATTTTTAAGAGGGGGGGGGCCCATTTTCGAAAATTAAAAAACCGTTATTTTGTATCCTTAAATCTATATTCATTCTTCATAAGTTTGAATATTTAATTCATTTTTCATACATTAAATTTAATTTTTCGTGCTGATTTTGACATTTTTTTCATCACTTCCTCTACATTAACTGGTTCTTCTCTATAAATACTTAATAAAACAATTATCAGATTTTCGTAGGGGGGGGGGGGGGGGGCGGGCCCCCTATGGCCCCCCCCCCTGGCTACGCCCCTGATTGAGAGTATGTTACAGTATACAACAGTGCCAGCATTAATTCTAATTAAGTAGCGTTTTCCTTCTATGATAATTATCGCAAATTTTCTCATCACAAAAAAAGCAATACATGTAATAAATAAATAACTTCTTTCATTCTCGCTCAATTGCTTATTTTCAACACATTTCGAATGATGGAAATAAGTATTGATTAAAACAATAATTCTTACTCATTTCACAACTGATGCTCATCTACGTTTCTTAAATATGTGTTGGTACGAGCAGAGAAAATTTACTGTCTTATGAACAAGTTGTGTGTCTATGACTGTCAAATTGTATATGTGAATCTAATTTCGGGTATAACATAAAGAAGATAAATTCAAGTTTGATTAAGTAATTTATTTGATAATGCGAGAAATATTGCTATCTATAGATTTTTATTTGTTTTTCCGACATTATGTTAGGGATTTCGGTTCGGTAAAATATAGACTCAAATGTCACTAGTCGGTTAATCGATCGAAAATCCGGTTAGAATCTGACATGGTGCTTGATTAAAGATTGCACTGGATAGCACCATGCCAGAGTCATGTCGACATGGCGATGGATTTGTATTCGATTAACTGACTTGTGCTATTTGGGGAGTGCCTATTAAAAAACCGACTTTCAAAAATTCAAAACCTTTTTTTTTTCAAATTTTAAGTACCGTTACCTGAAAAATTAAGTTAACGATTTTTGAAAATTTGAAAATTATACGAAGAAAAAAAAGTCGAAAAAATGATGCATCGAAAAAATGAGGTTTCGAATTTTTGAAATTCGTTATTTTGATAGGCACTCCTGGTCTAAGGACTAATAAAGAGTAGGTCTAAGAAGTGATAACCAGTTATTGAATTATAATCTATAAGATCGTCTTCCATAATATATAAGATCAAACTTAATTAACTAGAACTGACCAAATCATCAGCTTCTGGTTCGATTCCTTAAAATCGAACTAAGACAAGACATCTACAATTTCGATTAAAATACTAAGAACATTAGAATCCCTACAACACTAGAGCACATGAGTTTTATCGACTCCTTTTTCATGATCTCATACATAATCAGATATGAATACATAAATCTTCCCCGGCAGTTTATCTACACAAATGTACTTTTGCGAATCTATCAATTTCAAATTACTTGTTTCGAGAGCAAAACACTCTCAATCGATTGAAATGAATTAAAGAATGGTAATTATTGGTAGATACATGCTTATTATGCTCATCCGAGAGGTAATAATGCCTGTAATTATAGCTATTCTTTATTTTATTGACTTTAGATTCGTTAAAATTTCATTTTATTGTCTTTAGCTTCATTTTGTGCTTCAATTGTTTCTTTTTATCGTTGTCTGTGTTATTTATGAAACAGATGCTGGATGCTTAATTGAATGATGAGTTTATATGGAATTGCTTCTTGGGAATTTTGTTTTTGTTTCGACTTTAAAGTACTTTAATTTGTAAGAATTTATATGAAAAGAAAGGTTAAACATTTAGAGGTTGAGGTATGTCCAAAAATTATTCAAGACAGGGGTCCGATTCTTTAAGGGGGGGGGGGGGGGGTTTCCGAATTTTTCTCTCACATTTGTTTATATTTTTGGGGTCCCAAAATTTTCTGATTTAAGTTTCAATCTTATTGAAATGACCCAAAACCTTCTCTTTAGCCACGCTTATAGATCCCATCCTGAACATCAAACCTTTTGTTGATGGACATTGCAGATGTTTTTTTCTCTTCTTAGCATCCCTAATAAGTGAATGTTCCCTAAATTCTCATCATTCTAACTTTAAATTTCCACAAAACTTAGTTTAAAACTTCTCAAAACTCAACGATTCTCATTTCCATCAAAACTCAACTCATATACATACAGCGGTTGCAGCAACAGCAAACAGAATGACTGAGGTCAGTTTTGTATGCATAAAGTATATAAAAAACTGTTTGCTTTACATTTCTCACATTTTTTTTCGGATAATTACATCATTTTAGTCAGTGTAAGTAACTTGATGTGCGGGATGCTTACAAAAAAAATTTATCATCATACATTTCTGCGCGTTTGTCATTGTCTCTAAAGAATTTAATTTTCTCTCTCAACAAGTTTTTATAATTAAATTATTAATGAACATTTTTGCTCGAGTAAAGTGTAAAGAGAGAAGGAAATGAGAAGAATAATAACTCATATAAAGTCAGACGGCTTTTTAGGAAGATGAGAAAAAAGTATGTGAGTATGCAAGGTAGGGAGAGCAAGTTTTACGCGATGATAATCAATAAGATGTAAATAAATATGCTATGCCTATATAGTCATTAAACTTCCGTACATTATTTTTTGTCTGAAAGTTAAAGTAAGGCTTGGCAAGACTATGCAGGTTGAAATAAATTTTTGCAAGACTGATCCTCAGCTACCTGAAGTAATTTTTTTGTGAACGGAATCAAGAACCCTTGCTAAATAGCTAATAGGTTCTTCAAAATATAGGATGACCCTCAACTTCTCTTCTTAGCAATGACCTTGACGCTATGCAACATCCGAACGCTCCACAAATTTAAGTGATAAGAATTATGGAATCAAAACAGAAAATGAAAGAAAATGCTGAGTACTAGTAAGATGCGTGGAATTACTACTGTTTTATTTTTTCTCTCTCAAGGTTGCGGACAATGATTGACACTTTTAGTTTTTCTGTGTGACAAGTAATGAGTTTTAGCAATGAGTAGAAAAAGGAAGGAAGTAACAACATGTAATTACGCAATGATATTCATAATGTGGTAGCTTGGTTGTATATTATTTTTAATTAGATTCTTCCGTATTTTTAAATAAGCTCCACATTTCCCAAGCGACACAAAAAAGGCAAAGAGCAGAGATTATGTCCCTTGAGTTCAGATATTCATTTATTTGTTTTTTCTCATTAATAATTTCTTCCGATTTATTTTCCAATAAAACTTGAAAAGGTTTAGAAATAGAAATTTTCAACCTCTCGTCCGTAATCTTTGAGGTTATATTTCCAACTCACAGCTTGATTATCCTTAAATTTATGTGAAAGGAAATCATAAATGCAGAAGTATTTACTTATTGTCTTTTTTCTATGTCAATCATAATATTGTCAAAAAATTTAAATAAATCTGTAGTTTTAAGAAGCCGGCGACTAAATGTCTGTGGCGAGCTGCTTCCAAATTAGCATAACATTGTACCATAATAAACAGTGTGTCTTTAAACCAAGGCGTGGAAACTATCCCAAATATCCCATATATCCCAAAAATGTTCAAAATATTCCCTGAGCCTGTATGCATTAGAATTGAGATATCCCATCATCCTGAAAATACACGTCCAATACACTAAGGAAACGTTAGGATATCTTTATTATCTTGCATACATGCTTAGGAATTTTTTGAATATTTTTGGGATATTTAGGATAAATATGATATTTGGGATAGTTTCCACGCCTTGCTTTAAACTTGTTTTATATATTGCAGATTTTGAATTCCTCTTATCAGTTTTGATTGTTTTTGCTCAAAAAAAATTGTGAGCATCAACGTCTGATCTAAAATCACTTTAATGCTTAGAATCAACAAAATCTTTATTTTTTCTTGCTTTTTCAAGGCTTTGTTTTTAGAAATAAAATACAGATTAAATGTTCATTGCATGATAATTAAATTGATTGGATGAAACTCAGGTTTGGTTCTTAAACTTGATATATTATGGATAATTGTGCGAATATTTCTTAAAAACAGAATCATTGTGTATTTTTTAAGCAGGAATAAAAACGAGTTTTATTTTTCGCATTTGACATTAAAAAAGTTTATTGTTTTATTAGATTTTAGCTTCAAAAGATTTTTTTGCGAATCTTTAAAAATTGAATTTTTGAGTTTTTGCGAGATTTGCTGTTTTAGTTCCTACTTTGCTATACTATATGTAATCTATGAACGCATATCATGATAAATTTAGATAAACCACGAATTGGTGACAAATAAGACAGTTTTCTTGATCTATTTCTCGTCTTCAATACTCTTTAGGTACTCACATCCTGAGTAGTCTTCTTTGCCAATCGAAATAAGTTTGAAATTTATTTTTGGAAAATTTAAAATGTCGTTGAATCTTCAATTTATCTAATAGTGTGCAGTGAACCGAAAAAAGTAAGGCATATTGATATAGCACATCCCGCAATTATCAATGTGTCACTTCCTTTCAAAAAACTATAATACAAGCTTAACAACATTCAATTGCCAACTCAAATTCAATGCTGAATTATTCAAAACCTAAAATTAATTTGCAACAAACTTCCAGAATGCATTTCCAAGTAAAATTTCTTGCAATTTCTAATAAACATTTCATCATTAACCAGAAACATTGCTAGTGCAGTTTTATGCTAGTGCATTGAACTAATAAGTTGATTGACCACTTTATGAGTAATAACTTGACTTCTGGTAAGTACCTGAAGAAATGTATGCACATTGACTAGAAATTTCTCTCATTATTCACAAGATCACTTCAAATTTGCCATATTTCAGCTCACTTACCTCTCGTGATCGAATTTTTTCTGCAAGATCTACTGCAGATATTTCCAAAATTGGATTTTTCAGCGGGGGGACTTTTCCATTCTTACCAAAAATGTCAAAATAGAGGTAAAGAAATGGCGCGAGCAAATAATTTATTATTTTATTTATTATGCCATAAATTCTCAATGTTAGTTCCATGATTTCACTTTTTTTTCGTACGTTAGAAATTGCAACTGTTATGCATTCACTATTTAACTTGTTATTTAATATCCAAGATAGACATTAAAGCTCATACATGCATGCAAGAGAGATTGTCGTTCAGCGGTTTAATTCACAAGATTTTTATACTGCATGCGAGCATATAAATAAGATGTATTTCCGCGATAAGCACTTAATATTCATTTGAGTCTGAAAATTTACTATCTTTAAGTTAGGTATGAAAAGTTTTTAATAAAATTATTTCCACTTTTTTGGCTCCAACCAAGCTTCTTAATTTGAATTAATGCAACTGATAAAATTTAGTGCCGCACCAAAAGTTCAAGTTCAGGAAAAAAAATAATTTTTTAAGCTCCTCGCCAGTTGCAGTTTACCGTGTTGTTTTACACAATCGACTGAGACTTAAACAATAAAATACGATAAGCGTGAGCGATTTTTTTCCTACTTTAATTTACAGTACATACGTTTGCATGTGAATCGACCACAGACACACATTTGTAAAAAGAATGAGGTACGTACGAATTAAAGATAAGTGCAAAAGCAACGTGTATTTGTAGTTGTTATCATTTATTCAAAATTATTTACTTTAAAAATAACGACGATTGAATTAGTCGGATTTTAGATCTAAAGTTCATGATGTGATTAATTTTAATTAGCCTTCGAATTATTGTCTTTGTAGCTAATTTGGGGTTATTTAGCTTATAATATGTTTTTATAAATTTTTTCTTATATATTCTCTTACATATGGGATCTTGGGCTGGTTTTTGGCTCCTTGGGGAAGTTGCTCTATTTTCTTATTCGTCGAATTTCATTTCTTGGGCAAACTGTCTCGAGTAGTTGATAATTTTGGCTTTTCTGGGTCTAATGGTCTTCTCTTTCCCTCAGAAATCATAGAAAAAATTTCAATTATTATACAACATCAACCTTCCCCCCCCCCCTCTGTCCTACGCAAAACTAGGCGTCAAATATAAACAATCCCTAATAAAATGACTCCTTAAAATTCTTTTGAGTTCAAAATTTAACCAATTTCTTGCTGAGGAATCGCAAATACACTTTTCTCAAACTTATTTCGTACTTAATTCTAAATCAAATACGTTCAGCATAGCACAATCATACTGGATGAATAATCATTTAAATCAGAAAAGCTACATAATTTTTTCATGTTGAGATGTTTGTCAATGCTTCATTTTAAAGTGCTAATAGGTTCCAAATAATCAAACATATGTCAATGAACAATGTTGACATTTATTACTTCATTATTGATTAGCAGTTCTACATGATCTTGAAAATTTTATGTTCATATTCTTAATTTGAGATTTGAAATGAGAGTTTTTTTTTGTTGGGAAATAAAGTAACTCTTTTAATTCACATATCAAAGCTAAATTATTGTTTGTACAAAAGCTGAACCTTATCCATAAATTAAAACTTTATTTTCCATTAATTGATAGCTTTTATTTAAATGTATTTTTCAATTACAGCTGTAGATTCTGTAAAAATAGAGTATTGATTACTCTCTTTGAAATAAATCGATGTAATGTATAGGAACATCAATTAGTAAAATGAATATATTTAAATCTTTCCAATTTGATTGTAAATGCACTCCTCCCCTAAAGCAATAGATTCCCTTCTATAAAAGACATGTTATTAAAAAAAAACTAAAATTTATGAAAAACACACCCTCTCAAAAACAATTTTGGCTGCATCTGTCTTTTTCCCATTTCCCTACTTCCAAAAATGTAGATTTTAAGTAACCGAATATGTCATTAATAATAAATACAAGTGACCAAAAAAACAAGCAATTAAATAATAATTACAGATTCGGACGACTTTTTACAAACACAATAGAATCGCCATTACTAAGCATGCTTGAAATTTATCATCATTCTTATGTAAATAGTTTGATTAGAGGTTATTTTAAAGCTTCTTATTATTTATTATTCCTTATTTATTTTCATTGTTTTTTGTTTTTCAGAGATCAATTTTAACACAACTTTGGGGCCGTTCACTTATGACGTCCAGAGGGGGGGGGGGGGGGGGGGGGGCAGCAAGAAAAGAACAATAGAAATTCCTTGAAATCCATTGTTTTTTTTTGAAAAATGACCGTTAATTTCGGACGTCATTAGTGAATGACCCCTTTTATGAATCAATAGTTTTTGATGTATTGCAGTTGGGTAAGGGCAAGTTGCTAATTGATGGTATTAAGTCGAAGCAGACTTTTAAAAAGTCCAGTCTCTAGCTCTACAGTGATCTTCATTGGGCTACCTTATGATTAAAAATTAATAGACTAAAGTCTTGGATATGAAGACATTTATTAGGGTAAGTTGTACCTAGTAGCTAAAGGCACCTACCTTAGATATACCAAAAGAACAGGAAGCAACAATACGACTGCTGATGCCTCAGCAACAGATACGTGCCGCATTTCAAATAAAGTGACTCAAAAATTCGTAAACTCATTTCAAATATTTCAAATGACAAAAAGATCTCAAAAAAGCCTAAAACTTGAATAATTCAGAACCTCCAAAAGAAACTTCAAATTCGCATAAGAAGTGCAGTTAAGTGCCTTGCTGGTCGAATAGGTAAGGCGCTTGGCTCAATTTGCTATGGTAACTCGAAGGTCGTCGGTTCGAATCCAGCCATTTCCAAATTTGTTCTTTTTCAGAAGTTTAGATACTTCGACTGCTTAATGTACGAGTCAAGCCATAATTGGGCATTTTGGGCAACGTTGGATTAAGGAACGGATCAGGAACTTGAAGTGTAGCGGGAGAAATAGGAACGAGAGCTACAAGATTACCTTATAATGGAATATTGTCAGAACGGACCTGAAATGTATCACGTCACGCCCACAGAAGATTGAAACGAGAGCCTTAGTTTATTTGAAACCTAGATTTGAAGATTAGAAGCTTGATTCTACGTCACCCATAGTGATATGAAATGTATCACTAATCAATGTAAAAAGTAAAAACATGTATAAATACTAATTCTTCCGGACGGTAACGTCGACAAATAAATAATAATAAATAATAAATAATAAGAACTTCCTCAATAATATTGACAAATGACTTCTTCTTCTTTTTAAAAAATACGGTAAACCATTTCCATACAATTTAAACAATAATCACGCATCTAAAGACATTCACATTCTAAAACAAACAACGAAAAAAATTTCGTATTGATAAACTGTAAACAATCAATAAACATTCACACATGAAGCACGTAATTCCGTGCTTGATAAGAAATGAAAACAAGATTTTGTATCCCAATGTCAATTTATTAAAGCCAAGCGATGATAGAAAGAGATGGAATGAAAACAAAAAGCCACATGTTAAGCATACAAGTGTAAAGTATTAACATATGATTAACAAGTAGACAATGTCTGTATAAGTGAGAAATGAGCTTTAATGTAAATAATTTTATATTCTCTCTCGCGTGGCTTTTTCTTCGTTGTGCGAATGACAAAATTCATTTCACATTAATCAGCTTATGACAAGCTTGTAAATAACAGCTGCGGGGGTTCGAGGAGTGTGTACTGGCGGTTGATGTGATTGTTTAATAATATTTTTGTATTTTCATGAACTGTACAGATTAAGGCTTTGGTGTTTTAGGAAAATTGAAGAAAGCTAAAGGTTTTTGGATGTTTGGTTGATGTTTACTTACAGACTTACTTCCTTCGTTAACCGGAGATTTCAATTTTGATCCATGGTATGTCTTGGATGAAGCCTAAAAGACTTACATCATAACTACCCAAATGACACAAGTCGGTTAATTTAATAAAAGTCCAACGCCCAGCCGGCATGACTTTAGAATGGTGCTGGCTTCAATTTAAATCCAGTACCGTGCCAAAGTCACACCAGCTTAGTGCTTACGTCTATAACCAGTCAATCTCACTTGGACAACTTCTTTATCATCTCGATTTCAATTAGCAACCAAATGTGCTCACACCTTGACAAAAAAAATCATTAACATTCAATTGCTTCCGATAAATTTTGGCTCGTGACAACCAAAATCCAAGAAGTTACCTTAAGTATCAACTTAATAGACTCTTTATGTCTCATTTTCTCAATTATATCCTCTTAATGAATTCCGATTGAAGAAAAATTGCAGTCCATAATGGATTCATTAATCCAACAAATATATTTTTGCTCATTAATGCCATTGACCTGAAGGTGATTATTTATATATATGCTGTTACACTTTTGTCAATGTAATCTTCTTAAAATACTCATTAATTTTGCAGCCAAGTATGATTTTAATTGAAAATGAACAACATTTGCTGCGCTAATTAATTAAGTTGCTTTATTGAATTTTTTGCAAAGAATTAGAAAAAGAAACAGAAATAAATGTGAAGCAGACAGTAAAAATTTAATGAATGTCTCTTTAAAGTCATTGATTAATGATTGATTATTTCAAAAATTAATTCGTTTCAATTCATAAAATAATTATTAATATGTTTGACATTCCGAAATTATTACCCGAGCAGCACAACTACTTGATGGCACCTTCACGTTCGATATAAAATCAGTTGTTGTTTTTGGCGCTGGTCGGGTAAGTTGCTATGAGTCACAATTAATCATAACTTTACTAAATTTGCATATTGTAATGCTTGATGATTTTCAACTCATGACATATTTCATAATAAGTAACGCCTCGAGATCTTTCATATTTACTGGAATGTACAAAATAAATAGAGAATGTCAAAGCTATCGTTTTTAAAATAATTGAAACCGACATTTCCAGGAAGTTTTCGGAAGTAGGTGTAAACCTTGAAGCATTCTTTTTAAAATGTCAGTTGTCATGACATTATTTTGCAGATCTATGACGTGATTCTTAAGAAAAAAATTAAAAGTTGACTCAACGTGAATCTTCTGTCAATTTTCTGTATCATTGATATCTATAAGCCGATGCATTGGATTAAGACACCAAAAACCAATAAGACGTTCCTCACAAATTGAACAATGAACAAAATTTTCAAAAAACTTTAAAACGTTCCAATTCGTACCCAAAAATTCTTTATTGCTGTTCCTCTTCAATCAATCTACGTGCGTGATGTCATCAAAATCAATTCGCGCAATAAAAATAACGAAAAGCTTTCGCATTTTTCTGTGTGCTTATCGCTGATGTATAGAAATAAAATTAAATGATTTTGAATCAGCATGAAAATGTCTTTATTTGGAAAAATACATAGATAAGAGGGGGAGATGTGGAGGTAGAATAGGAAATATAAAACAATATTGCTGCAACATTACTTAGCGATGGCAGATGGCAAAATCTGCTTTCATGCCATTAAGCTCCAAACCATAATTATATCACTTTTAAGAGCATTCACATTTTCATTTCCTAAATAGCTTAAAATTGCCAGTCATTGGAAGAGAAATAGACACAAATTT